TGGTTTCGCCATTGGTGTTACCTGATGACGGGTCCACTAGGCTGTGCTCTTTTCGTGTTTTACGTTCACAGTGACTAAGAAGTGGATTGATAAGAAGAACGGGTGAGTGTTCCTGAGCGAACTTTGCTCGATGACTTGTGTGTTTGAGACTCTATCGTTGTCGTCTCATTGTGTAACCACCAGGCTGTGTTCCTCTAGTTCTGTGTCTATGCCATACAGCAATCGCTGTCGCTTCATACGAAGCTGTAATACGCATTTGCTGGCCATTATAACTTTTATTCGTGGGATCATACTGAAGAAACGAGTATGTAGCGGGGTGGTTCGAACGAAATATGAGAGCCCAAGCTTAAGCAATATGGCTATTGGATGTCCAGATAAATACCTACTCACCGAGAAATGCATTTATTGATGCGTTTTTGTTAAAAATGATAACTTTGAAAATATTAATATAATACATTTTGCTTATTCAATCTCATCACCTGTCCGTTTTGCCCCGAATACTGCTTCGTTTTGCTTCAAGCCGGGGGCAAAATGAGGAAAAAACGTTGCCTGATATTAAGGAGGATCACGCTTTAACGTGAAGAGATATCGAGCCAGCCCTTTTATAAAAGATAGACAATTGATCAGCCTTCCATATCCACCTGCTAAAGACTTCCTGGGTAGATTTATGAACTTGCCATATTCAAAAACCGTTAAGGTGTCCGTCTTGTCCCGCTTTCCCCTAGATGGAAGGGGTCCTAAGCTTGTACTGACATGGCTAATCCATGTTTGTCTTAAAATGTTCAAGATTCGGTGAGAACTGATTACTAGTAAAAAAAACTGTGTAAAATGTTTTTGAACATATGCGCTCGCAAGTCATGGCAACACCAGGCTGAACGCCCGGCGTTGTAGTCTCCAGAGGCCGCGCGGCATCGGTCTGCGGCTGTGACACTAAGCGATGGCCAATAAGCAAACGAAAAAGATGATGCACCTTGAGGAAAATGGCTAGTGAACTAGGTAAATCGGCACGTACATTTGAATGTGGTGCAAAAGTAAGCTAAACACAACCTTAATCTGAAAAGTGTGTGTGTGGGGGGGGGGGGGAGGGGAGGCAGCTAACACTGCTGGCCTCCACCTTGAAAAGTGGGGGGGGGGGCATGGCCCCCTGGCCTCCCCCCTGTTCGTACGCCCATGAATATGGTGCCATGAGGCCTTAGCGGTTTCGATACATTAGACGTTGCGATGCATTCGTGGTTACAGGCATTAAGGCTTCCGAAACGGACCATTAGCAAGGCAGTTCACCTAGTCAGCCACTGGAAGCTTTTTGACGAGCTGCATGCCTGAAGGGGCGGAGCTTGGGCCGTAAGCCAATCAGCGACCGGGCCCAAGTTTGCAGCGCAGTCGGCAGCTGGGGGGCACTCGCGGAGGGAGGGCAGATGGAAGGCCGCGGCGGGGTGGTCGTCGGAGGGGGGGGGGGGGGGGGTCGTCGAGTGTTTGCATCACGCCGTGGTGTCTGCTTCACGCCGTGAGTGAGAGTGGGTGGAATGATGTTTTGTCCGCAGGGAGTGGGAACGTGACCGGTCGCGCCATCACGGAGTCTGATTTGGTGTTAAAGAGAATGTTCCACATTTGAAGGTATTGAAGCAAGCATCAAATTGGTGAAATAAGCTCACTTGTAAATCATGGTATTACTTTGAGGAGGAGATGCTGCTCTTACGCAGTCGTACTTAGCACCACACTGAGAGCCAACTGATGGCCATTATATCTGGAAATAGTGCTCACGAACGCCAGTATGGACGACACGGCAATCGTAGCTTCTTGGCATGGGTCGCTACATGGCCAACGGAGCGTAAGAATTTGAGTGGTGTTATTATGGCATCGGGGCGACCTTGAAACAGTTTCCTTGAAATTGGTCCATTTTCTCGGGCGCGTATCTCAAAAACTGGAATGCTTTATGTCTCAAGAAGGGCGGGGCTGTTGGCTGCGTTGAAGGATCTTCAAGATGTCTATTTCAGTTTAAAACCTCATTGGAATGTGGCATACGCCCCCAAACACCTATGCATCAGTGGTGCCACTTTTGAACACGGAGATCTGCGGGACACGGGCTTAAAAAGCCCGCAGGGCTGCAAGCGGTTATTGCTCACCACATTACCGTATTGGCGAGTGTGTTATGTCTAAAATTACTCTCGTGTGCATGTTGTTAACCTCAAACTGAAAAGAGCAATTGTTATAACATCTTGCGAAAAAAATGTTAATATAGGGAAACTAACTTTTTATCACCTTTCCAGCTAAACAGCGCATGCCATTTCACGAGCAGACAATTCATGACATGCTGTAGCTTCCAGAGTTACATCACCATGGCTAAATAACTCAAACCTACAGTGGAGTACAGTGTCTTGATTATGCCTTCTGATGGAATGAATTATCAGCAAAACAGCGAGAACCTTTCTAAAATAACATCACATTTGTGGTGGCGTCTGCCGTGGGCGTAACTTTCTATTCAGTCAGGGATCTCAAGCTTCAGCCACAACACCTGGATAATTTTAGGCATTTATCTTTCCTCAGCTCACCCCAAGCATACTTGGTAACATTTCGCTCCCGGACTTCGCACACCACTTGTCAAGTGTGTCAAAGGTCACACAAAGCACAGGTCACGTGAAAAAAGCAAATGACTTTTAGGAATATCTGATCAATGCAACTGCACAGGGCGTTTCAAACAGTAAGCGCCACCCAATGCCTGGATTAAATTGAAAACATTGCCCTGCATTGAAATTCCAATGCAAACCAGTCTATGAAGTCCATAACATCAAATCAGTTCACTTTTGTACGGTCCTGGACTTTGTCAGCAAATTTCGTAACCTTTCTATAGAAATCCTGTCTGTCATACGTAAACACTGATTTGGTATATGGCCGGGAGAGAGCCGCAGAAGCACACTGACTACCAAACCATCCCGGCGATCCCAGCTGGCATGTTTGAGGTTCCAAAATCAGTGCATCAAAGTACAAAATCTGTGCAAAAGGCTGTTCGTCAGCTGTTCAAGGAGTTCGGACGCACAAGATGGCCTTCACGTGGCGCGCGGACGAGCTCGTGTTTGCCAGTCACGTCTGGATGGATGCTAACTGGTCACGTTGGAATGTATCATCATTTGTCCAGGGGCAAGACAGAGGGTCATTTATGGCGCACTCCTCTTTCACCAAATGCTACTCTTACCTTCTGCAACTTTCCACGTGGCACGCCGACGCCGATGCCGTATCAGCATTATGCCGGTAGGCAACAGGCCCAATGTGTACGCCCAAGTATAAATACACTCGTATCAAATGTATTTGGCGTATAAATCCAGCATCAGAAAAGCAGTTTTGTAGTCAACGTGCATGCTAGTGTTGCCTTCGTGGAACTGGCGAAGTAGCTGAATCGGAGTGCACTCTATCTTTGGGCTTTTGATGGTCAAATTTTGCTTGCATAACGCATGCAAAATGCATAATTAGGACTAGTGACCATATGAACCCAGGTAAATACAGTCATTCTTGATTTGCGTTGTTACACTGGAAGAAAATGTTTGATATCTGTTGCCCGTTACTTTTGAAGACCATTCTGAAGGTCCAAGAGGATTCGGTCTTGGGCACAAGATGGTTTCCTCGGACCGAGGAGATTACATGGGTTTGTCCTTCAGCAGTCTCTTGAAAAGGTGTCGTAGTTCCAAGATCTTGAAATGGAGAGAACTCAACAGTTCCACTCAGTGTTAGATCATGAGAAGCAGGTGTAGGGAAGGCATCTTGCAGTTAGTCATGCAAAAACATCGGAAAATATGAATATGCTCTAAGGTTTCTCACGGCGTGTTGTTTTGGCAGTAGTAGAATGGTTGGACATGTGTATTGCAGGCTTTTTGGAAGACATCTGCCTTGTGTGGCGGGTGCAGACTTTCAAATTTGGAGGGATAGGTATTCCAAATCGCTGCGGTGCGGGTATTCCAAACTTGACGATGGCATCTTTACTGGCTTGTTCTACATAACAGCATTTGTTGCAGCCTGCAGCATGCATCAGCGGCTTTGATGTCATGTGCTCTTGCTGAAAGAGCTGAGAGTGGGTAAAAATGGTTGGGCTCGAATGTTGTACTGCTAAGTTGTCTCGGTGTGGGTCAAAATGGTTGGACTGGACTGTTGTACTGATCAGTCGTCTCGGTCTCGGCGTCTCCGCGTGCGGGAGACGGCGGCCGGTCGCGTCGCGTCGCCGGGTCTTCTCTCCGCTGCACTCTGGGCCAGACTGCCCTCAAAAGTGAGATTAATTCAGTGAGTCAAAATTAATTACTAAATACTTGTGTTCCATGCCAGTTTCCCATGCGGAATCCGGTTTTGCACCCCATTTGTATCGTAGTTGTCAAACTACTGACGTTTTTTTAAGGCCAAGTTGAGGTCACTTACCTCAAACGATATATCTGCTAGTTTACTTTAAATAAATTGCGCGTGCATGGTATTTTTACGCGCCGAATTCGAGTTTGGCATTATTTTCAAACTGCTGACTACGAAACCATCATATGGTCTATGTTGACCGGGTGTAACTGCTGACTACGAAACCATCATATGGTCTATGTTGACCGGGTGTAACTGCTGACTACGAAACCATCATATGGTCTATGTTGACCGGGTGTAATAAATCAATAAAACATGCACGCTGATTCTTGTTTAGTCGGAGTCAGTGTCGCTGGTATCGTCCTCAAGTATACATGACGGGAGTCGGGAGTAATCACGGGGGTGATCAAGTATACGGGAGGGTCCTGTAGAATGGCGAGGGCCTCTTTCGAAAGCGCTTTCTCACCTGGCAGCCCTCTGATTCCGCACACTGATCGCTGCCGACCTGATCACAGGGTCTCTGGTGACCAGTAGTTGTCAGATCTGGTCGGCGATGTATGCAGGCGAGTCTTTTTTAGCGTGTCCCACACGCTACGCTCGTACCGAGTGGCAGTGGCAGTGCGTCAGTAACAGTCACTCCATGGAGACGTACTCGGTGCATAGACACGGGCATCGGAACTATATGTGCATATGTACCACGGATACATGTGCATATATATTTCGGCTGTTTCTTGGCAGTAGGCACCGAACTTTTCAGCGTCCATGTGATATCCGTATGCCATTGCAATGCAGCATGTAGGTCTCCGATTAGGCACTCGTCGACCCCGGTGATCTCAGCTAAGGTCGCTACTTCTGCGAAGGCCCGCCGGGCTGTGTTGCCGTCGTTTGATGAGCCGCTTCCTCCAACTCCGGCTGGTCTAGGTGGTAGCTGATGTAGAGTATGCACCCGAAAAGCCGGAACGAGGCGTGCAGAGTGCTGAAACCCAAATGCAAGTGACTTTTGTTGATTGCAAGTTGCCGGACATGCTGGAGATAGTTCATGACTTTTGGTGCTGCTTGCAGAGTGAACATCGTTGCATTGAGGCGGTCTCCATCCACCCGTGTGCCGACCACAGGCGGAGGAAGCCGAAAGCTTCTTCGGCAAGACTCATGTCTTAAGCCACCCCTCGTTTTCCGACAGGAGCCTCGCCGTGTGCCTGCTCGATTTCACTAATCTTTCTTTCAACTTTGTTTTAGATGTTTTCAGTAGCTGCGTGCATTGTTGCAGCTTTGTGACACTGACACCGTGGCCTTCGAAGTAGGGTTTTACCTTCCGACTGTCACAGCGCTGAACCCATCTTTCGACTTAAGAAAATCAAACAGGTACACCCGTGACATCGTGGCAAAGGTGATACCGCTCACTGATCCGGGTACACGAGTGAGCTAACTGCATTGCGCCTTGCTTTAAGGCGACCCGAGGGTGATTTGACCCCGCAATTCGCGGGCAGGGAAATGAGCCTCATATGTTTTATGACCCCTGGCCGACTCCTACTCAGACAACACCGGAAGGTATCGTCACCCACACGACACAACAGGAGGGGGAGTGGGAGAAAGGGAGAGAGCGAGAGCGAAAGCGACAGTGAGCCATTGCGGAAATCAAGTGGCGTTTATGATGCTTGCTGTCATACGCAGCGTGCACCTCAGTACTCAAGGAAATTTTGTCATACACATGCTTAGAAAGTCATGAATTCTACCACAATAAGCTTCGTTATGTGACGAGAGCAAGCCGTTTGTGTCTTTCAAGTCCCAAGGAGCATGCCTGGCCAGCAGCAGAGCTACTATTCTCACCGCTAGATGGCAGACCACCGAAACATGGTTTAGTCGTAGATCGATAACCTTTTTTTCGCGCGACTCTGCGCAACTTTTTTGTCGTGATCGAAATTCAATACTTCTATCTCAACACCAAAACAGGAATTATTGTGATACTTCGTAGGATCTTTGATCTCTGTAAAGGGATGCTGCTTTTATACACATCCAATAATCAAGATCACAAAAACTGTCATGTCAACTGAAATGTTTTATCCTTTGCGCAGATATATTCCAAATTGCTTCAGTAATCTAGCGGTTGGCTTTGTGAACATGAAAGTACACTGGAATAGGCACAGCAACTGCCTAAACTTGGTTGACTCGTCGCCCGTTTTCTTGCATGGTCTGCACCCTGCAAGCTGCATTCCGACGACCATGGATTTTTGAATTAGTCCCACTTTTGAAGGCAATCTGACCCATAGTGCGCTGCAGATCACCTACACCTACTGCTGAGGGCCTACTGAGGTGTTTTCAACATAACGCCACGCCTGGCTAAGGCTGATTGTTTGTGTAGTGTATCAACAACCTGTTTGATTCGCGACACTGCAGCAAATACGATAGTTATGAGTGTTGCATGACCATTTGTAGTCGACGCACCCGAACATTCAAATCACCTCGACTTTGATTAAAACATACATATTTTAAATGTTCTTGAAAACCTCAATGCCATGCGATGTATCTGACGTAGCCACGTCTCCTCGCTATTATCACTCATCTGTTTAATAATAATCAAACCACGGGTGCCATATGACCAGGGCAGTCTGTGCGTCCTGAAGCCGAAATCATCATCATGGGCAATAACTTGTTGAGGCAGACAATGAGCAAAACTGTCTAAAATAAGAAAACTTTGAGGATTGCTCCTTTTCAAGAACATTCCGATAGTGCTGTGTTCAAGTTGCACATAAACATTAAGACAGGCAGTCAATGCTTACCAGTTATGTATGTCATCTTGCAAAAATTCGAAGACCTTTCGCTCATATGGCTGACCTCTGTTGCATTTCATATATTGAAGTCGAAGAGGTGAAGACTGGTTCTGGAAACATACGGAACAATGCAAATATGTCGCATGAGTGCCAATCTCAATTGTAACTAACTGTTAGCCTTGCTGGATTCGATATGAGAATTAGGCACTGTTTGACTCGCGTCAGCGCTTATCAATGTTATAGCGCATGTTTTTGGATGTAGTTTCATCTGGCCATATAGCCTGCACCTTATCCAAACATTGGCTACAGCTTGCATCGAACAATTATCATCGAAGGTCTTTGAATGTTGCAGAGGTAAGCACTGGTAGGAATGATGAAGCTTTTCTGATGTACATGTTGGTTTGAATTGTTTTTCTGATGTCCACATTGTTAGCAATAACATGCTTTGTCCTTACCATGCAGACGAAGAGCTAGACATGCACAACTCATGATAACATGCAGCCTAAGGAGTATCACAGGCTTGCAACGCCAACACATGGTCGTCACATTGCAGTAAAAACAGGTGAGAACATCAATCATGATAAAGGGCACTATAGCAGATGAGGTGTTTCCATTGCCATATTGAAATTTGTGCAGAAACATTTCACCGTAGCTGATACGACATGCAATTTTTCAAGAAACGTGAACATCGTCCGAATCAGTGACGGCAATCCCTGGGTCCTGGCATAAGTGCCTCCTGACCTGGAACCGCGGTACTCTGTACTTGCTATGCAATCCATCAATCCCGCCATCTCGGTTCAAGGTGGGCCCCTTATTTTGTCTCTTGCTGCCGGAAACCAGGCGAAAGACTGCGCGGCTTATCCATGATCTTCTTTAAAAGACTGAGCAAAACTACAAAAAAGAAATAGGATTGTTTTTATTAAAACGAAAATAAGCAAACCGAATAGAAAATGAGGACATTGCGAGACAACATTAAGCTTGACAACACGATGTTCGCTATGTGCGTGGAAGCCGACTCAGTGTGCCAGTGACTCACTCCAACTCACTTTCAAAGCTCTTGAAATGAAGCGACTGCTGTTTCTCTCCCAACGCCTGACGCTAGCTCTCTGACACTGGCAGCGTGAGGACTCACTGGGGTTACTCTGTAAAGCCTTGGATGTCCTCTTGACAGTCTTTACCGTAGTCAATCTGATGGGAGCAAAACGACCTCCACCGTCGACGCGCCCTTGAAGTCATCAGGATCAGTCAACCCCATGCAAAGCTCATCCTCTGCCCGAAAGACTTGCCATTTTAGTACGAAGAAACAAACCGTATGCCGCTAAGCCTTGCCATTTAACAATTGGCATAGCATCTCAGAGAGAATATGATCGGAATGGAGGCGCGACAGGCTGGCACCGGCGGCAACGCTATCAAGATCTCCCCATCTCGTCACAGGAGTTCTTCCCAAGGCTGTGGAGAAGTATTGCCTCAGGCACTTCACGCCAAAGCCCTCCTCATGAAAAAAAAATGTGAAAAAACGTGACTGGGTGCCTGGGCTGGGCGCCGGCTGTGCCGCGCGCTTAGTTTTCGTGCGTTACGAATAATTATTGGGTACATGGGCCATGTGTTTTCAAGTGGTAAAACACCTTGTTATATTTTTTGGCGTTGGGACCGGCCTACGCTCTTGCACATACAACTGAAAAAAATCAACATCAGAAAGGAAAATTGTAAGTCATTCCTTGTCTACGTTCATATTGCCCTGAAAATTATTTATGGTGGAATCATGATTCCAAGAGATACATGCGAATATTGAGAAAATTTATGCCATCTTAGCCCATAGGTTGGTCATATTTCCTTTCAGGCAAGTGGAAAAAATTTCCACCTAAGGTAGCCTTGCAACCTCGCAACTCAAAATTGCCCAAGGCTGGGAACTCCGAAGAGGTGTGACTGAGATATTTAGAAATGTCACGGACAAATTCAGTACTGATTAGTGTCTGAAATCTGGTTATGGCTCTTAGGGAGTGAGAACAAAAACTGTATGATAGCGGCTCGCAGTGAAAACGGTATATTCCTTGTGAATTTACATTATGCACACACCAGACATTTTGGGACCATGGACTGACAGAAGTGACAGCAAACGCAAAACACTCACTGGCCTCATTCATAACCACATACATTTACAATCAGGAACTTTCAATTCTGAAAATTTCCAACTCTCTGAAGTATTATTCAATTTTTTTATAAATTACACAGAGGCTATGTGCATGCACCACTGTACCTTCCAAAACAAGGAAGAAGATAGACACTAATGCGCCCAAATGTACAACCAGCATCACCTGAGCGTTTGGATGCTGGGCTGCAATTTCATTTTTTGTGTCTAAGATGCAGAGGAACAGAACCAACAGGTTTTCATCGTAACATGGTATGGACATGGCATGAACAAGACGCTTCTAATTCATTTATATTATGCTTATATTTTGTTTGTATTTTGTTCTCTTTGCACACAGCTGCTTCAGCATACCACGCCTTGTTTTCGTTCACCAGTGCATAATAACAACGACAAAACGTTCTTCACACACGCCGTACCTCCACATCCACTAGCCGAGTGTTGTCGCGGCCAGGCCATGACAAATGCTCAGTGCCAGCCCAGGAGTTGTTTTCTGTTGCCCAGGAGAATGCACTGCGGAATGGTGCATGCTCCTTGCTGTCGCTGAGCACCTCGATTACAAATGACGTCACCTATGTAAAAACACGGACGATTTCCCGGGCGTTCACTTTACCTACACTAACCTTTCCGTTGCTGCCTCGGCAGGGACCTTCGTCCCATACTCAGTTGTCTCGTCGACTGCTCAGATGACACTTCTGCCAACAATCCGTCTCCGCCGTGGTTGGTGCGTGGTGGTCCAAAGACGCAATAAAGTCGGCTTATATTGGTGGTTTCATTCTGAAATGAGACGCGAGTCTAAAGGTACGCGCACTTCGGCCATCACATATGCATTACGGATACTCACGTCGATCATCCACCACAACCACGAAATTTTACGCTGTGTAACAAAGCCTGCTAAATAAGAGTGATTCTGAACACCGGCACTGCCTCGCCGTACCGCGCGAAGATGTTATGGACAGAATCCGGGCCATCCGTCCTTAGGCGTAAGAACGGGCGGCACATGGCTGGCATGACAACCAATCATGTTGCTTATGGCAGTAGAGGAAAGATCTATATCCAGCATTGGACTTAATTATTCAACTTCAGAGATGTGTCTTCGCTTTACCCTGTCCTCGTTCTGCGCTGCGTTACGTGCCCTGGCAGCCACATACCGTTGCTGCATTGTGAGATCGCAAGGGTTGTGATGGATATAGATGGCGCTACTGCACGGCATTTCGTGGTTTTAGGTCAAAAGTGCGCACGCATGAAGTACGTACGCAACTTTTCGTAAGCAAACGTAGGTGAGATAGAGAAAGCTCATAAGACAGATTTACATATCCAAAAGCTCGTATGCAAAAGCTCGGGAGCAAATGCTCAGTTGATTAATTCGTATGGAAAAACTCGCATGCATAAAATACGAACGTTTTGTGCGTCACAACCAAACGTAGGAAAATTTTCAAACACGATAAGTTAGTCTGACAATAATACATACGCAGTGGCTTGTGGGCAGGATAGGCGTACAAGCGGGTGCTTATGGCGATACATGGAGAAAATTGGCCTCGGGATGGCGTATGAGGCTTGCATGGCGAGTGTTACATGCATGGCGAGTGTTCCATGCATGGCGAGTGCTCCACGACGGATCGGCCGCCAAGGCATCAAATTTTACCCCGGCAACCGTTAGATTTCGCTCAAACTTAGTTTCAGGGGATGATCGAATGAGTTAACGTACGAACTAATAAGTAAAGCTAAGTAAGTCGAACGAATTAATTCGAGTGGGAAATTTCTGGCTCTATGCGGCTAAGGTTAAAAACAATAATAACATCGGACAATCTTGAGTCGGATACCAACAAATCCTTACCAAAAAGGGGATCCGTATTCGCAGACTCGTCGCATCCGTCAGCTGGCGTCAGCTGCGCGTCCAAGGGCGTCAATGAAAGTCGTCAGTGGACACGTCGTTAGAAGGGATAATGGGAGTGCACAACTGATTCAACGGGGTATCTGCAATGGATGTTTAAGCCTCCAGTCTACTTAAACCTGCATTTTCGAAAGTACCATTGTTTGGTGGTTGATGTGCACACCGTGTGTTTTTTTTTTTTGTCGATCTCCTTCCAGCCTTTCAGCGCCGCGATTACTTTGCGGTGGGCTATAACCAGGCGCACATAGACCGCCACATGATCCCTCGGAAGATAGAGCCGGGGGGACATAGGGGAACCTGGGTCATGCTTGTTGGCTGGACTCCTTGGGTGCCGTGTCCGATTAGCATGTCAGAGGGCACGAATGGTCTAATGCTATCATGGATTTCATGCCTGGGTGTGGTCGGAGAAAGCGTAAGGCTTCATGCGTAAGGGGCTGGCAGTGGCAGACAGTGAGTGACAGAACCCCATCACGGCTCTCTGGAAAACCTATCCGGACCCCATCACGGCTCTCTGGAAAACCTATCCGGAGCCCATCACGGCTCTCTGGACAACCTATCCGGAGCCCATCACGGCTCTCTGGACAACCTATCCAGAGCCCATCACGGCTCTCTGGACAACCTATCCGGACCCTGATCGTCGTCACGATCGTCAGCAACTGGTGCCGCAACGCAAACAGCACGGTGAAGATTCGTCAGCAGGCCTAGCTGGCGGTGGGCGAGGACATTTGTCCACAACAGAGTTTCATTTTTTTGGCAGCATCATGCGAAATGTTCTTCAAAGCACGTAAATACAGGAACATGATCCTGTATAGGTCAAGACTCTGCGTAGTTGAAGCTTTACCGTAACGTGCGGAATCTGGCTGTCTCCTTGGCTACTATATGGTCGCGCATTCGAAGCGCCCTAAAGCCACAATTACTACCACTGCTGTATTCTCTTCACGGCCCGCAGATCGTCAGTCCGTCGGCTGCATTCGGTATCTCGCATTAAAGATTTTATCACCACGGGCAGTCAGGTTGTTGGGCAGTGGGTAACAGCTGTTCTCCGAAAGTGCTCATTTCCTACTTTTTGACGTTTCTTGCGCATTCTGGAATGTTAACAGACTACGTTGCACTCAAAAGCGACAGTCGCGTGACAAAGTCGATAGCGTCATTAACAAAACAACAGTGAGCAGGCGTGGGGCTGTAGTTTCGCTTTTGTTAAACATTCAACCACACCAAAATGGCGCGTTATGGCACGCACGACAAAGACAAAGCGTGACTATTCTTTGCGCATTTTAAAATGCACCCAAGCCTTGTTTCACTCAGCGGTGTCAGCCGTGTGACGAACCTGCTAGCGTCATTGGCATTACATCAGTGTGGCAGGCATAGGACGAGAATATTTGTGTAGAATATTATGTAATGCGAAAATTGCACGCTGTGCATAAGAAAGCACAATGCGCACGTACGTCATTGGGCTGGGGCGTAGTTGTGCAGGACGATGTGCCCACCTGCTCGGCCTAAAAAATACTGCCTGCAGCCCACCCTGTTGCCATGCAGCGCACGCTAAGCTGCATCTCAAATCATTGTCCCATTCCAAGGAAAAGCAGATATGCAAGGCCCCGCAGGGGCACCAGCTTCGGCTGGTGTACGGGGAAGAAAGGGGCAAAGCAAAGTTGGCAAGTACGATTAACCAGCAAAACGCGGTGAAGCAAAACTAGCCGGGGAAAAAACTGACAGCACCGGAGTTTTAGGGGAATCCAAGCAAGCAAACCAATCAAA